GATTGAACTCAGGCCCTTGCGCTTGCCAGGGAAGCGCTTATTCCACTGAGCCATCTTCCCGGCCCCTCCTGTATATTTTTTAAAGCTTACAAAGTACAGAAGGTTATGCAGTGAAAAATAAATCTCCTTTGTAAGTGCAGGAAATCAAACCCAGGGCCTCGTGCCTGCTCTGTAAGTGCCTTCCCCGGAGCTGAGTTACACCCCCAGCTCTACACCTTCCTTTTTTATAGAGACAAGCTTTACTGGCATTTCTTCATCCTGACTGCTGCATTCTGTGTGTACTTTATAAATACTACCCCCCGTAGTGCCTTTCTTTCTTTCTTTTTTTTTTTTGCAGAACCAGGGATTTAACTCAGGCCCTTGTGTTTGCCAGGCAAGTGCTTATTCCACTGAGCCATCTCCCCGGCCTGAGCCTTTCATTTTTAATTCAGATAAAGTGAAGTTTACTTTGGGTTTAAATGGTGAGCTGTGGACCTCAAGCATTTCATATATATAATTCCATATTGAAGTTGCTCTTGTGTAGCTACTGTATTTTAATTTATTTTTGGTACCGGGAATCGTACTCAGGACCGCCACTGAGCTATCCCCCTGGCCCTCGTGCAACTCTTTTAGGTGTTCATGTAACTATTGTGATCTTTGGCCTCCCCCCACCCCCATGCTGGGAATCAAACCAAGAGCCAGCACTGTAGTCTCTGAACTTTCTGTGGTACTGAGGATTGAACCCAGCACCGTTGCACTGAGCTACCTTCACAGCCCTTTTTAAAATTTTGAAACAAGGTCTTACTAAGTCCATTAAGTTGCCCAGGCTAGGTTTGAATTTGTAATCCTGCCGCCTTGAGTTGACGTAGTTCTAGGATTATAGGTGTACCCCCCCACATTTTGTTTGGTTTAAATTTGTTGTTGTTGTTGTTTTGAGACAGGGTTTCACTCTGTAGCCCAGGCTGGCCTCAGACTTGCAATGACCCTTCTGCCTCAGCCTCCCAAGTCCTGGGATTGTAGACATTACCACCATGCCCAGCTAGACTGTGGTCCTTACCGTAGTTAGGATTTGGCAAGATGAAAGAGAACAGTATGAGGAACCAGCCAGCTGAGATATAATCACTTTACTAGAAAGATCACTATTTCCTAATGTGTTATTTACAAGACATATTTTGTTTTGTTGTTTTGTTTTGTGGTGCTAGGGATTGAATTTTAAGTCCTCAGATATAGTAGGAAATGTTCTGTCACTAGCTATTTAACCCGCAGCCCCCTATGATTTTCTTTTTGTATCTAAAAAATAGGTAGATACCTATAATGTAGAAAATAATTGACTGAAATGAAAGTAGAGAACAATTAATGAAAATAGAGAAGGAAATCCAAGCTGTGGGCAGGAACAGCGCGGATGCGCGTGGTGTTACAAGGGTTTCTTCCAGCTGGGGTGCAGCCGGCGGCGCTGCGCCTGCCAGGTGCGAGGGCCTGAGCTCGGCTTCCAGTACCCCCTCACTTTTTTCTTCTTACTCCTCAACATTGTAGTGTATTTGGTAAGCTTATTTCTCATAAGGATACAGCTTATCAGTTCTGAAATTTTTTATCATGTGTTCTAGGGTTGAATAAATCACTAGATACACTGCAGATAATAAGCTAAATGTTCACACTATCAGAGAAAGTAGTTTAGCAGCTGGTTATAGAGCCGTAGGAAGATACAGATGGACACACACATTCCCCTGTGCACGATAAGTACAGAAATAATCTATGCCTGTTCGTATATGGGCGAGGATACAGATACATATTTTCTAGCTGTGTTGTCTGAGAAAGCCTAGAAATAGTAATACTTCAGGAGTAACATTCACACCGGGGATGTCGCAACTCAGTATGACATACCTCGGTTAAATCATGACCTTTAGGCATTTTGCAATCAAGGACTTTGGAGAAGTACTAGATTCTAGGGCTGGGCAGGGAAATATCCACTAGCCTGGAGCATGCATAACTCTGGAAGAAATGTTGAGTGAGTGGAGGGGTAGGTGGCCTCGGGAGACGGCGCAGGACTCTGGAAAGCATCCATTTGAGCGACAAAACGGTGAGGGCGTTAGGTGATGACGCCTGTGCGTCCTGTCCGCACTGACTCTCCCTGTCGCCTCCATCCAGGTCAGCCGCAGTTCCTGTCTGTGGCAGAAAATCTGTGTGGAGCCTTAATTTGAATAAACTTGATACCTTTTCTCCAAAGCAAGTTGAATCTATAATTAAGATGTGTTTTCTAGAAAAGAGTGTACACAAGTTGGTGGAGTTCTGTAAACAAATCTGAGTGTAATCTTGATCTTAAAATCTGTGAGTGTAATCTTGATCTTCTCTGTAATTCTGTCCTTTTTAAAACAATTTTTTTTAGTTCTGTCCTTTTGAAATATTTAACTTTTTAATATTAGGATGAATAAATGATATAGTATTTTTATAGTTGATTATATCTAGAAATAAAATGTAAGAATTTGTTTTCCATTACAGAAGAAATTTTGGAAGCCACAAGAGCCAAAAAGGGAGAAATTGATGATGATAAGAGCCCAGAAGACATAGAGAAGGACAAGAGTGCGGCTGAGGATGACGGCAGTAAGGAGGCTGCCGCTGAGGAGGGCAGAGAGGGGCTCGAAGCCCAGGCCCTTGGCAGAGACGGTGACGACAGATCACCAGCTTGCGACCTGGGGCACGGAGGATCTGAGGGTAAAGGAATTACTTGGTTAAAAAAAAGAAGTATCTTATTAGCAGTGCTTAGGAACCCACCACTTTATTTGAAAAATGAAAGTGACAATTTTTACTATAAATCTCAACTTTAATTTATAAGAGTATTAGGATACCTCCCCCCCTTGATTGTGCATAACAGCTCTAATGAGTTGTATGTATTGATAGGTTTGTGATAATGTTATACTCGTATCTCTACTTAGCATTTCTAGGAAGTTGCCATTCCCTGTGATTTTTGTTGGTGACAAATTACTATATTTGTATCGGAATATACACTTGCATGTGATAAAGTATGTTCGTTTTTTATTATTTAAAACATTAATATATTAAACCCTCTTAATCTTTGGATTAACTATTATAAGCAATCCCAAAATCTAATTGCTTCTAAATGGCCATCAAGTTGAAGTAGATGTTCTTGTGATCAATCAGTTTTAATAGTTGGTTGAATATGGCCATTTGTCCAAAAGCAATTTTAAAGAGTATCTTTAAAGTTTTGTTGTGCATTTTGCTGTAGAGCCAACTGAAGTTGGGGATAAAGGTAACTCTGTGTCAGCAAATCTTGGCGACAACACAACAAATGCTTCTTCAGAAGAGACTAGTCCCTCTGCAGGGAGGAGCCCTGTGAGGTGTCTCTCAGAAACCCCTGATAGCAGCAACATGGCAGAGAAGAAAGTGGCATCCGAGCTCCCCCAGGATGAGCCAGGTACAGAGGGCAGTGTACCAGTGCCTCTGTAGGGGGGTCCATCCTTGTGGTGAGCCTGAGCGTCACCCAGACTGCAGGACGTGTCCGCTCATGCTGCCTGCTCACGGTGCCATCCCCGACCGCTGCATCTCACCTAACTGGAGCCTCATGAGTGTCCTTGCAGTTAGTGCTTGAAACTCATCATCCTTATGCTTTTTCAGCTTCATTTAGCTGTTTTTGTTCAGTAGACTTATTTGTGCATCTTACCCCGGGCCCATAGTGGCAGATATTTTGGTTTTAATTGCTTACATATTAATGGCTCGATGTTGACCTTTCCAGCTTTGTATATACTAACAAATTAATTTTATGTTTGCATGTGCTCATGTAGCTTTTACATTTCAAGTCGTAGTGTTATAACAGCAAATCCATCATCACAAAACATGTTTTCAAGATACATACTTTTATGTAAGCTAAGTTATTCATGTGTTAAGCTTTTTAAAATTAAAGTTATACTCTTAAGTAAATTATTTTCACCAATAATATTGTTGTACCATTTTGCTTTTTTAAAAATGCAGGTTTTATGGTAGGAGCTTACGTATGTTTTTAAAAAAAAATTCAAATGAGCAGTATATTTTAAAAAGCTGACTTTATTTTATTTTTTTATGTACTTAGTACAGGGTCTACAGGGTCTTACTACACAGCTCAGACTCGTAGTGATCCTCCTGTTCTCGGCCTCCCAAGCGCTGGGATTACAGGCGCACCACCATGCCCAGTCTCAGTTGCTTGCCCCGGGGCCTGGGCTGGCACGGCATGGCGCAGCTCACGGGATTGAACAGCCCCTTCATCTGCCTAAGCAGGCGCTTAAATCCACTGAGCTATCTGGCCAGGCCACGTGAGCAATATATTTTAAACACTAGTAATCTCACCAAAAACCAAAGAGACATAGTTAAAGAAAATCTTTTTTAAGAAGATTGTTTTCTACATGTCTGTCATCAGTTTTCAGGCTTTCAGTATTTGCATTACTACTTCTTACATCAAGATTTGAATTTGAGGGGCCGGGGAGATAGCTCAGTAGAATAGGCGCTTGGCTGGAAAGCTCAAGGGCCTGAGTTCAATCCCCGGTTCTGACAAAAAAAAAAAAAAAAAGATTTGAATTTGATGTGTTGGAAGTGTCTCTATTTGGGAGACTGCGTTCTGGGTCCCCTTCTGCCATTACATTAATGTCTTTTACTCTTTCAAGAACTCGGTCTTCCAGTGGTAGAACTGAGTAATTTTGACAACCAACAGTTTTTCTTCTGGAGGCTTTTCCCCCCAAGTCCTTGTCAAGAGTGAGCTGTGTGCTGAGAACACCAAGATAAGATGGGGTCAGGCGCGGGCTCCAGAAGCGTACCGCTGTCAGCAGAACCCACTGTGTTCACACTGGGCCATTACTTAAGGTGAAGAGAAGTCTGGAAACTGCCCTCTGGTGAAACAGATGAAGAAACAAATCATTTAGCCTAGAAATCAATAGGCGTGGCAGTTAGAAGCAATGTGTCTGTCCTTAAATACTGAGGGGCTAAATCCGGGGCAGGGGCGCCGAGACTCGACTTCCTCTGGCTATAGGGTATTGAATCAGGTAGGTAGCAGTCACAGCAGAGAGGGTTTTAAGGAAATAGTCACTTTCTTAAAGTTGGACTTGTTTAGGAAATAGAAATACTAAACTTTCTTTCACTATAGGCGTTTAGGAAATGCCTGGCAGAGATTATTTTAGTCCTTTATTGAGTGGGAGAATTCAGATAACTATAAGATGTGTGGGGCCAGGAAGATGACTTGGCAGTCTAAGCACCTGCCTGGCAAGCACAAGGACCTGAGTTTGATTCTGGTACCGCATGCCCTGCCAGCCCCACATCGTGCCAGCCACCGAAACTGGGCATGGTGGTGCATGCCTGTAATCCAGCACTGGGGAGGCTGAGACAGGAGGATCACTACGAGTCTGAGCTACATAGTGAGACCCTGTACCAAATAAAGAAATCTTTAAAATAAAAGCTTGTGGGCTGGTGAGATGGCTCAGTGGTCTAAAGCACCTACTTAGAATAAGCTAAGCTAAGCAAAGCACAGGGACCACAGTTCAACCCCCCAGCACCACATGCCAGCCAGCCCCGCCCCCTGGTGGGCTGAGCTGGCCACACACAAAATTAATAAATAAATATTTTTTAAAAAATTAAGAAACTTAAAAAAATAAAATAAAAGCTTGTAAGTTGTTCGAGTGTGTGTGTGTGTGTGTGTGTGTGTGTGTAATTTATTTATTTTATTTATTTATTTTATTTTTTAAAAAAGACGGATTCTTTTGGGGGGTGGGTACCAGGGATCAAATTCAGGACCAGGTCAGGTACCAGGGATCACCTACTTGCCAGGCAGGTGTTATGTCACTGAGCTATCTCCCCCTCCCTGACCCTTGAGATGGGGTTTTTCCTCAGTTCAGCCTAGCCTTAGACTCACTGTGTGGCCCAGGCTGCCCTGGCATCTACCGCAATTGTGCTACCTCAGCCTCCCAAGTACTGTGAGTACACATCTGGGCCGCCACACCCAGCTTGATTTACTCATTTATTGGGTTAATATTTCTAGGACCTGTCTAGTTTTTCCTTCTTGAGACAGGTTCTATGTAATGCAGGCTGACCTTGAACTCACTTCTATAGCATAGGCTGGATAAACTCACTGTGATCCGCCTGCCTCAGCCTCTGAGTGGTGGGTTTCCAGGCCTGTGCACACAACTGGGGTTAAAATTTTGAAATGGAATACTATTACCAAAATAAAGTGAAAATACTCATTTTTTTGGAATAATGCTTATAGTCTAATATTTTTTTTAATTTTTATTTAT